TTCTTTTAATCAAGGTGTTCTTTATGCCATTCTTCCAACTTTCCTATGATTAAAATTTTTTCATATATGAATCTGGGAGATCATTAGCCATTAAACCCACTGCCACTGAGTCAATTCCAACTCACACCAACACCACAGGACAGAGGAGAACTGCTCCGCAGGGTTTCCAAGACCCTCATCTTTGCACAAGCAGACTGCCCCAGCCTTCTTCCACAGAGTGGCGGGTGATTCCAAACCACTGACCTTTCAGTTAGCAACTGAGCACTTAACCACTGTGCCACCAGTGCTCCTTCATTAGCCACTAAACCAAAATCACTGCCATCAAGTAGATTCTGATTCATAACAACCTCCACTGGTCTTCGAGGCGGTAAATCTTCACGGAAGTGGATTGCCTGACCTTCCTTCTGTGGAGCGGCTGGTGGGTTTGTACCGCCAACCTTCCAGTTAGCAGTCAAATTCCTTAGGCACAGAGCCCCATTAGTCATGAAAGAGATGCAAATCAAAACCACAGTGGGATACCACCTCACCCCCATGCACTGGCAAAAAAACTTGGAAAACAAGGAGGCGTTGGAGAGGATGTGGAGAAATTAGAAGCCTCATCCATTGCTGGTGGGAATGCAAAATGGTACAGCCACTGTGGAAAACCATCTGGCAGTTCCTCCAAAGGTTGAACATGGAACTATTACCTGACTCAACAATCCCAAGCCTAGGCATTACCCCAAAGAAGTGGAAGGCAAACAGACGCCTGTGAGCCAATGCTCCCTGCAGCACTTTTCCCAATAGCCAGAAGGTGGAAATAACCTACACGCCCATCAACAGATGAATGGGTAAACAAAATGTGGTCCACACACACAGTGGAATATTACTCAGCCAGAAAGAAAAAGGGATTCCTGGTACACACCCCAAGATGGATGAACCTTGAAAACTTTCTGCTAAGCAAAGTCAGTCAGTCACAAAAGGAGGAGCACTACATGACTGCATTCACAAAGTAAGCAAACGGATAGAACCCAAAGCTCATTCGTGTCACCGGGGACGGGAGGAGGGAGTTTTTGCTTGTGAGGCACCGAGTTTATGGTAATGGTGGCATAACAATTAGGAGATGGGTAGGCATAGGGCTTGTACAATGTTGTCAATGTCACTGAATTACTGTACACGCAGACACGGCTGAAATGGTGGACGTTTTGTTGAGTGTATTCTTCCTACATCAAAAAGGAAGCAGCAACAGCTAGGGGAAAAATCAGTCCAATTTTCTAAAATAAGCCCTTTGGCTCTGCAAAAATGGAAAGCATTAAGGATTACAGTCTGAAGTTCAATCAACTTTCACATCTCAGGTTTGTGCTATTGGGACTGTGGTTCTGCTACATTCGGGTTAACATGATCAGTATTGACAACAACAATGATCCTCAACATCTGAGTATCATATATTGATAATGCATTTCACATGCAATATAGCATCTCCGATGTACACTCTGGTTCCCAAAGCCCAGGCCCACGTGGTTCTGTGATGAAATGAGTTCCTTTATGTGGCCTTTTGCCTTGATTCTTTGAAAAAGACAGAGAAAGACATAGCCTGGGGGATTTTTCCCCTGAGCCCGGAAGAGCTGTCACAGTGCCCCAGTCCTTCGGAGGAGCTTGTTAATTTGGCCAGGGAAGAAGCCAGTCGCTGTTACTATGCCAACAGATGGAGCCACTTGTGAGGGGACTGGCCAGTTCAGTGCAGCAAGGGGATTGGTCAGTTATTATGCAAACAAGGAACATAAACTCTGCCCAGCATCATGGAGTCATTTGTCGACATAAGCAGCCGTCCCACAGAGATTGAGGAGGACCTCACCACCATCGAGAGGAGCATGGGGCAGAGCGCGTCCTTTGCACCCGGAGTCCTGTGCTGAGGACGCCCAGACCCAGGAGGCAGAGCCGGGACAGTGGTGCAGCAGCAGCAGGAGACCAGCACAGGACAGCACAGCGGGCTTTGTGGCCCACACAGTGGGGTGGCCACACACCCACGGAGCAAGAGGCTTGCTGGGGGAGTGGGGTACCTCCGGGCACTTGTCAGCGGAGCTGAGAGGAGACCTGTCCTGAAGCACCTTCTGCCCCACAGCTCCACACTTTCCTTCCCCCCTAAAGCTGATTTGTGCAGCATGAAAGCCTCTGTGCAAAAGCTACACATGGTCCCAGTGCCTAAACCACGCACCCACTGTGATCTTCTCCTCCCTCCGGTGGCCCCCATCTCCTGGAACACGTCTCTATCACAGCACTGAGCCCGGTGCATCGTGGCAACATCCCTGCCTGTTTTCACAGACAGGCCATGAGTCTCCCAAGGACACAGGGTGGATCTTATTCATCCCCTACTTCCCACACTGTCACCAAACAAAAATGTCATTTGTTAGATGTCTTCACGAATGCTCAGAGAGAATCCAAGAAAATAAGGAGTATTTTAAATCTACAACCAACTTACTGTTTCCTTTCCTCTCCCACCTAATATATTGCCTCTACTACTGACATAGGAAACCTTTTAAAGCAAAACGGCCTATCAGGTAAGGTCTACCCCTTAGGCCCTAGAGCCCATCAAGCCTGCCTTTCTAGTCTCTCTCACTATTTTCTTCAGCACACAAAACTCAGAGTTCAAATGAACTCTCCAAACATTCAAATATACCTTGAGGACCTCCAAAGGTTGGGGACTCTTCTAAACGCCAGAAATACACAACAGCTGTTCCCCAGATATGCCCCATGTTTCCCACCTCTCTATTTCTGATTACTCCCTCGATCTGAATTTGAATATTTGAATTATATTAATTTGCTCCTTGAAGGAAGCAATGCAACTAATTTACCTCTGCATTCTCTAAAATCACTGCATAATAACACACTCAAAAATTTTAGATGTTCAAAAGATCAAAGTAACTAAGTGAATGAATACCATCAGAAACCAAACCCACTGCCATCAAGTCAATTCCGACTCATAGTGCCCACAGCAGAGTGGAACTGCCCCGTATGGTTTCCAAGGATGTTAATCTTTACCAAAGCAGACTGCCTCATCTTTCTCCCACAGAATGGCTGGTAGGTTTGAACCACTGACCTTTTGGTTAGCAGCCAAATGCTTTAACTTCTACACCACCAGAGCTCCCAGTCCCAATGAATAAACAGGTAAATAAAAAACACCATCCAATTCATTCACTGAATGTTTTTCTTTAAAAACAGTAACTAAGTGGTCCGGCTGACAGCAAGCTTCTGAATGCCTATTCGAGACCCCAGCCCTTTTACCTTCAGTCGTCTTGGCCCATCTTTGCCAGAGCCCTTCTTTTTGCTCCTGGTAAGCACAGTGATAACTTTATCCAACCCTCTTTCAAGGCTTCCAAACACTTTGGTTCCTTTCCTTCTCGGCGTATCCTCTACATGTGCTTGGTTGAGATTCAGTTCCACTGAGCGGCACCTTAAACAAAAACACAGCCTCCATGAGGAGCTGCCTCCTTTGCCAGGAGACCAGAAGAACTAGATGGTCCCTGGCTGCCATTACTGAACATTTTGATCAAAGATTCTATAGAAGAATCCTGATTACAAGGGGTAAATGCAGAACAGAATTTCAAATTCTCACAGACTCCAGATATTCTGGAGCCACGGAAGCCGGATGAAGCCCAAAAACGACTGCAGTGAAATAATCTTTAAACCTTAAACCAAAAATACCCCCTGAAGTCTTAAAGCCAAACGACAGCTTAGCTTAAGCACTCTGCTCTTTTAAGAACTATCTACATGGGAAAAAATTTATAAAAGAACTCTACATACGGGCTCAAATGGACAACAGCAACTTGAGAGATTAGACAGGAACCTCGGGGGCAATGAGTTTAGGAGAGTAGGGAAAGAACAACCCAGAAAAGGGGGGCTGCACAACTGAAAGACTGTCATCAATGTCACTCAACTGTGTACGTACAAACTGGTGAATTGGTATATGAACTGCTGTGTACATCCCCAGCCACAAGAAAATAAACAAAGAAAGTATTCAACAAAGCAAAACCGCACTCCTGCCTGAGATACACCCCATGTAGTTGAGCCTGAGCCACTCAATCTCACCCCTCCTCCAGGAGAGCTGACGGGGAGGGGTGGTCGTACCCATGTCCTCTCCCCACCCCAACCAACTGCCCCGCAGCAAAATGATTTTTCCCAAAACTTTTTTCTTGAAGTCAAATAAACAGAAAAGCTGAAAGAACAGTGCAATGAATGTTCGTCATCCTCCCAGATCCAGATGTGGGATATGTTCATCTTTCTACATTTGTTCTCTGTCTACAGATAGGTAACAAATTCTTGCAATATATGTATTGCTGAATCATCAGAAAGTCAGCTGAAGGCGCGATACCTCCCTGGAACACATCAGCACACATCCTCACATGCCCAGCGAACGAGAACGTTTTCCTACAGAACCACAATACTATCAGCACATTGGGAAAATGCACAACGTTCATCCCAATCACAACAAAATACACAAAGAAATTTTTTTTTTTTTAATTAGGATTTGGGTGAAGATTTACAGAGTAAATTCACTTTTCATACAGCAGTTCACATATACTTTGTCTCATGTCATTGACCAAAATTTACAATGCAGCAGCTCCCCTCCCACTTCCTCCCCTGCACCCTGAGCTATCTCCCTGTGCATAAGCAACCCTTCCTTCTCCCATGATTGTTCTCTCCAGGGCGTGTGTCTACTTGAGGTAAATGTTTAACTCACATGCCTGCACTTTGTTTGGCTGGAAACCACAGTTGTGGGTTCAATTCCAGACCTGAAGGGCAGCTAGGGGCCATAGTCTCAGTGGTTACACCAGGCTCCATTGGACCAGCAAACCTGGTCCCCACCTTCTTTTTTTTTTCACAAAGAAAATTTTAAACAAGAAACCAAACGGCAGCTCCACAATGTCTAATGTTGGAGTCCCATTGTCATCCCACCAGTTTTCCTCAAAACAAACCCTGCTTTAAAAAAAAAAAGCTGGAAAAGACAATGAAGGGTCATCTATTCTGTAGAATTTTTCATACAAGAAGAGTAAATTTTCTTAGAAACACTGTTTAGAATCTTTATTAGTTTGGGTCTGCTATCTGTCAATAGCAACAAAACTAAGGAGTTCTGGGGGCACAGTGCCTAAGGCATTTGACTGCTAACCCAAAGGCTGCTGGTTCAAACCCACCAGCTACTATGCGGAAGGAAGATGGGGCAATCTACTCCTGTAAAGGTTACCACCTCAGAAACCCACTGGGGGTCGCTGTGAGCCACTATCAACTCAATGGCAGTGTGTAAGTTTTTCTTGTTTTATCTGTCAATAGATGTCTATACTCTAATGGCAGAAAACTGGGAAAGACAGGCCTCAGAAAGGGTACTACAGGGGTGGGCCACTGCTCCTCTTCCCAGCCTGCTGCATTTCAAGTTCAGCAGGCAACCCAGTGCTAATGAGTACACAATTCTAGCCCAGGAGGGAGGGAGTAACAGCAGCTGCAGTGTGATCACAGACAGTCCTCACAGTTGATCCTAGAGTCACTGGTGGGACCCACATTTGAACTCACTTGCTCAGGTTTTACTGTCTATGAATAAAAGCAAATCAAGCTGCATGTACAAAGATCAAAACTCTAAAACACCCAGCACTTACCGCCTCTCAGGGCTGATGACTCCTGTCGTTAACTTGCTTGCTCCTGCTGAATTTACTGGTGTTTTAATTGGGGTTTCTCTCAGCCACTGGCTTCTACCTGTTAGAAAAACAACAAACATGAGTCGTGTATAGCTGCCACCCTAGGGTTGGAAACTTCTATCACTAATAACAAAACGAGTCGTGCGTAGCTGCCATCCTAGGGTTGGAAACTGCTATCACCACGTGTGTGTCAGCTCATTCACCGACTCGAGGAAGACTGGAGTCACTGGGACCATCAGGTTGAAAGTTCTAATTTTCTAAACAAATGTTTCCATCTGATTTGGAATCAAAATAACACAGTGTCACACTGCTTGGATAGTACGGCTCTTCCTTTTTGTTCACAGCAAAACTGAGCCTATGCCTGCGATTTCATTTATCATGATCAATCTAAGTAGGTCATCAACAGATTTCACGATGAGTGATCCTCAACTTGTCCTTACACAAGGGCACATTCATGCCTTCAACTGACAGAGCACAGGCAGGGGTTTGTAAGCTCAAGTCATAGCCCTTCAATTTCTGTTAGGCAAAGAGAACAGCGCCCTGGAAAGGCTTACAAATTATTAAAAAGGTGGTGTAAGCTTTGTTGTTTCTTACATTCCTTGTTCCAGAATTCTGTCTTTCATTCTAAGAGGGTATTTGCATCCCAGAGAGTTTGTGACAAATCAGATTGTCACCATCTCGTTAGCTCTTTGGTCGTGATCTGAGAGTTTCATATAGCCTTGACAGAGAGCAATATTCACTTTAAAATTACAAAGATAGGACACCAAGTTTTCACAAAGAGATTGGGGACTTTGTTTTGGTTTATGTGACTACTGAACACTATTCTCACTAGTTGCACAAGAATGAGAAAATTAAGAGTGATCCAAACTCTCTGTGAAAACTGTTTTCATCTTGGTACACTGCGGGTGCCAACGCATAATTGCCCTTCAGCACTGTCACTGACTGGACCGCACAGGATCCAGGAGAATGAAATGCATGCTTATGGCAAAAACAACTGTCAGCAAGAGTGAAACACAAAGTGCTGATAATGGAAGACACCAAGTGGGAATTCAGCCCCAACTGCTCCTTCAGGAAGCCTTTACATTTAAAAAAAAAAAAAAAAAAAAGCCAGCAATAGCTTTTGACCAAACACAGCCAGATATGTACACTGACGACACTCAAGATTATAAAATAAATTCCAAACTACCTACATTTCAAAACCTTCCGAGTTACAGAAAACGTACAAAGTATTAGTAACAGAAAGGACCAGAGCGTCATAGCCTTTAAAAACAAGTCCTGAATGAGTTAAGGCTCCCCTTACCTCCCTGAGAAACAACAAAAGAAGAAGACCCCACTCCTCGGGAGAAGATGGGACAGCAGTGACTCCTGAGGCCCTGCTCTGGCAGGTGTTCTCTGCCTGCACCCTCCTAACAGCCCCACTGTTCTCGGAAAAATGTCATTAAACTTGATCAATGAGACCCTGTCATTAACATAATAATGGGACTTGTCTTTATAGGTCCACTTTATAGTGGACCTCTTGAACTGACTATCAGCCCCATCAGCAAACTGCAAGTCCAATGGCAGGATGGGGTTCAGGAGCAGCTGACACGGCAACAGTTTGGAGCTGTGTTCATGAAGATCTAAACACAAGAACACGTCATAGCTACTGGAAGAAAGGCTAACAACACTCAGGTGTCGTTTTTAAAAGACCAAATAACAGTAAATAAAATTCTTCCTTAATTCAGCAAATATGGCCTCCACTATGTACCAGTCTGGTAGCATAGTGGCTAAGGCACTTGACTGCTAACCAGAAGGCTGGCATTTCAAACCCACCAGCCACTCCTCAGAAGGAAGATGGGGCAATCTACTTCCATAGTCATAGTGCCTCACTATGCGTTGGGTCCAACTCGACAGCACGTAACAACAACAATAACACGTACTAGGGGAGGGTCTCTGGTGATGCAATAGTTAAGGTGTTTGTCTGCTAACCAAACGGTTAGTGGTTCAAAAACATGAGGCACTCCATGGGAGAAAGATGAAGCAGTCTGTTCCTGTAAAGATTTACATGTTGGAAATCCTATGGGGCAGTTCTACTCTGTCCCATAGGGTCACAACAAGGCAGAATCAACTCGACGGCAGTGGATTTCTGCACCAGGCACTGGGCATCCACTGTACACTGTGCCCGGCTGCAATCAACCTGGCAGACAGTCTCATGACACTGTACTGTCTTGTGCTAGTGAGACCCAGTCCTAGGAAACTGGGTTCAGTTCTAGGCACTATGTTTCAAGAGGCACATTGACAAAATAGAATGTGTCCAGAGAAGGCCAACAAACCAAACACCTAGGTGTCATAAGGAAATGTTTAAATAATTGTTGATGGTTAACCTAAAGCAGAAACCAAGTAAAATAAGAGAGCTATCCTCACATAGGCACCTGGAAGGCCATGACAGGTCTACCCTCTCTGGCTGTGCTACACAGTAGGGAGGAACAGGACCAGAGCCCAGAACTGCAGACTCAGATGACCAAGCAGGGCTCAGCAAAGACTTATTCAGCTTGAGTCAACACAGATGTGAGTCAGTACAGGTATAAGTCAGCATAGGTGTGAGTCAGCATAGGTATGAGTCAATATAAGTGTGAGTTAGCACAGGTGTTGAGTCAGCATAGATATGAGTCAGCACAGGTGTGAGTCAGTACAGGTGTGAGTCAGCACAGGTATGAGTCAGCACAGGTGTGAGTAAGTACATGTGTGAGTCAGTACAGGTGTGAGGTGTGAGTCAGCACAGGTGTGAGTAATTACAGGTGTGAGTCAGTACAGGTGTGAGTTAGCATAGGTGTGAGTCAATACAGGTGTAAGTCAGCATAGGTGTGAGTCAGCATAGGTATGAGTCAATACAAGTGTGAGTCAGCACAGGTGTTGAGTCAGCACAGATATGAGTCAGCACAGGTGTGAGTAAGTACAGGTGTGAGCAAGTATAGGTGTGAGGTGTGAGGTGTGAGTCAGCACAGGTATGAGTCAGCACAGGTGTGAGTAAGTACGTGTGTGAGTCAGCACAGGTGTGAGGTGTGAGTCAGCACAGGTGTGAGTAATTACAGGTGTGAATGGGTACAGGTGTGAGTTAGCCCAGGTGTGAGTCAGCACAGGTTTAAGTACAGGTGTGAGGTGTGAGTCAGCACAGGTGTAAGGTGAGTCAACACAGGTGTGAGTCAGTACAGGTGTGAGTTAGCATAGGTGTGAGCACAGGTGTGGTGTGAGCAATTACAGGTGTGAGTGGGTACAGGTGTGAGTTAGCCCAGGTGTGAGTAATTACAGGTGTGAGTAAGTACATGTGTGAGTCAGTACAGGTGTGAGTAATTACAGGTATGAGTCAGTACAGGTGTGAGTTAGCATAGGTGTGAGTCAGCACAGGTGTGAGTCAGTCCAGGTCCAGGCAAATAAACGAGCAAGGTGTAAACCCAGGCATGTGACGGTGGCAAGTCACCCCACTCTAAGTTTCAGGTCCTTCAGCTGTGACTCAATGGCATAACATGCCTCTCAGTTTTGATCAGCTTTGATCTCTGATGATGCTGTGCCTTAGTTTTTCCAATGGTGAAGAAGAAACAGTATCATTTTAGAATAGTTACAAGTTGACTAATATGTTTTCCTTTCAACTAATATAAGTAACACACACCCAAAGGCTGTGCTTTCCTCTTAGAGATTCCGGAGAGCACGGGAGTCAGTCATTTCCGACAGCCCATGTGTTTGTTCAGAAGGGCAGGGAGCATGAAGTTCAAGGGTATTTTACCACCGCCTATTGACATGCAGCAATACCTTTGGAGGGCGTAGTGTCACGATTCGGTGTGGTGAGTATTCCCCTTCTGTGCTGGTTCTTATTAACGGGAGTCTTTGGCTCAGGAAATATGAAGTATTCTTCCTTCTTGACAGCAGACGTAGGAGTATGCACATTTTCTTTGTTCTTTAATTTATTTGCAGATGCTCTGCCCAATACTGGAGTTAATGTTTTGCAGTCCAGATCATCTGATTCTGTCCAATGCTTTGTAAACAGGAAAAGAAAACAAAGTACATAAAACACACTGAAGGGAAGAGTCAGTCTCCATAACACACCTTCATCATTGGCAAATCACCCTGTGTCGTTTTCATTAAAATGAAATACCAGAAGACACTATTGGTAAAATCAGGAAATCTGAAAATGGATGTCCAATTCTCTTTAGTGCATTTAAATCACTTTAGTCTATTCTATTGACAGGTTGTTTTCAAAATGTTTCAGGCCAAGTGCTTAAATAAACATACCCACATTCTAGGCACTATTGAGAATGGACAATATTTCCCCTTCCTGGACAGACACGGTTTGCTCTTCATCTGCACCAAAAAATAAAAGCCAGCCAGTGGTTATGGAGGAAAAAACATGTTAAAATATTCTAACTGAAATGCTGGATAAAAACATTTTTTAATCCTTTTAAATTTATGGTTGAACTTGCAAGAGTGAAGGAAAATCCTCAGAGGCTGTACTAAAACCAGGAGTGTGAATACAGAGATACAGTGAAGGCTGAACTGCCCACTGCCCTCAGGGCACCTACCTACCATCCCTGATAACCCACAGCATGTATTTTAACCGGCATGGAAGCCTTAGGCGAGGTGGTAAGTTAGATTCAAACCTCCCATGCGAGGCAACGAGAGGCTCTAACTTAAATGAAAAGCTGAATTAAATATAAACCTTCCCTACAAAGGAAGTCAGCAAGGAACTGTGTCTGTCTCGACTTCAGCTCTTGGGGAGAAGAGGAAAAAAGGTCTCCTTTAATAATTTGTAAGCAGCCCCAGGAGAATCTACACAGGTCTGAGGCCTGAATTGCTACTACCTGCATGGCTGCAGAGACCTCAAACCTAGAACTTCATGTACAATCATCCTAACTGGGCTGTGCTCCAGCAGCCTCCCAAAAGCGCCATTCACTCGACCCACGCCTCCACCTTTAGTCTAAGCCCCAAAGACATCCCACAGTTCCAAGAGATGAGCCCATAAAACAATGTTCCAAAAGACACAAGTAAAGGTGGGAAGAAAAACACGAACAATATAATCAAGCACATTAAGATTTCATATGTTAAAGATAACAAACACAGAACGTAAGTCTGTACTTATGTTTAAAATAATAAAAGGAGGAACTGAAAATATGAGAAAAGAACAAAACTACCAAAAATGTTTAGACAGATTTGTAAAAGAATAGAAACCCTAGAAATAAAACATTTAATGATTTAAATGAAAAACTCAACAAGCATGTCAAATAGCACATTAGATACAAATGAAGAGAGAATCTGTGAGCAGGAAAATAAAGCGATAGAAATCATGCAGAATGCAACCCAGAGAGAACAAGACATGGGCTCTACGAAGAAGAGTTTAAGACAGAGAACGAAGTGAAGTGGCCCAACGTACATCTGCTCCAAGTCCCAGAAGTAAACACCAGAGAGAATGGAAGAGCAGCAATTATTCCAAGAACTTTCCAAAAGTGATTACGATACAAATCCTCATCTGTGGGAAGCACAATGAATCAAAAGCAGGATCGCTGAGGCGAAATCCACAGCTGAAATCTGGGAATGGATAATGGTAATAATTGAACCACACGATAAACATAACCAGGGCCACCGCACAATACACATGAAGAATACCGAACTGGCAAACAATGTGTCACATAGGTATGTACACACACGCAAATGCTGAGGGGATGAAGAAGAAGAAAGAAACCCACATCTATACTTAGAAATGTGACAACTGTAAAGGGCACTATCTACACAGATGGTCTGCCTGTGTTCCCTGGGGCTGTACAGAGTAACGGCCCAGACAGTGAAGCTGCGGAACACTAAAAACAAAGAGAGGCTTGATTCTAAAAGGAGAGAAAAGCCAGTCTAACGGGAGAGGAACAATCAGACTGACTAACTTCCCAACAGCAGAGACAGAATCAAGAAGAAAGCAGACGCCTAACTTCAGAAGGCTGAGAAGACTCTACTTTGCACACAATTCTTCCGTAGACCTAAAACTGCTCCAAAAAGTAACATTTACTAATTTTTAAGAAATTCTAACAGTAAAAATAGCGGTAAACTAGAAATCTATACACAGGGGACTACCTTCCAAAAACGAAGGGAAAGATCCTTTTAGATAGTAAAAAAGTGTTTCCACCAAATGACCTCACACAAACAAGTAAGGTAACCTAAATAAATACTGATAATATTGCAATATAAATATCTAAACTGAAGCAAAATGTACAGAGCTTAAAAAAAAAGTACACTTCACATACGTGTGGTAACAGTACAGAGGACTTCATGCGTATGCAGTCAGAGTACATAGGACTTCTCTTTAATACTGGGCATCCATAACAAGTAATATAGACAAGGTGATCAGAGAGCACGTGTCCTAAGGACTTCGTGTTATTTAGAAGCAGAGTCAAGATACAGATTAACCTTACATTCAGCTAACTGACCAGCACGCTGACAATCTGGAGTAAAGAGTAAAAGAATGCAAATAAAACAAACTAATGGGATGATGGGCAATTGACATAAACCAGAAATAAGGGGAAAACAAAGAACAAGTGGGACAAACAGAAACACAGTAAGATGGAGAAATAAGATAAATTAGTAAACATTACTACTTCATCAAAATTAGTGACTTCTATCATTACAGTACAAGGACAAGTCACAAACTTGGAAAATATATATGCAACACACGATGAACAAAAAATGAGAACCAAGATTATATTAAGAACTTCTTCAATATAAGGAAGAAACCAATAGAACAATAAATAAATGACATGAAAAACCATTTCCTAGAGTAGAAAACACTATGATCAATCAATACATCTATGAAAAGATGCATAAACCACCAGAAGAGCACAAAGACAGACCACACTGAGACAGTAACCACACTCACCAGGTCAGAAAAAAATAAAGAGCTAAAAGTATCAGGTCATGGTTACTATGTAGAACAAGAGGAACTCACTGCTGGTTGAACTAGAACCACTATGATGACACTGTGAAAAATGGGCATTATCTGTAAAGGTAAGACAGTCATTCCTCTCCTAAGCACAAATATAATAGGGGACTGGCTTGCCCAAGAGAGTAACACAGCAGACCTCATTGTTAGAGGCAGCTGCTTGCAGGGCTGGCACTGGGCTAGCCCGAGAACTAAGCTTCTGAAAAGTCCCCAATGCTGGTAAGCCTGTGTGAAGGGCAGAGGCACTGACCTTTGCTACACCAGCCCATATAAACTTTACAACAGTGTGATTTATGGCAAACCCCGTGCACTCACTCTGCTGTTCTCGTTAGGTGCCACTGAGTCCATTTCAACTCAAAGTGACCATATGTGCAACAGAACAAAACAGTGCCTGGTCCTGCCCCATCCTAACAATCACGCCGTGGCTGAGCTTATCGTCACAGCCACTGGGTCGATCCAGTTCAGAGGGTCTTCCTGTTTCACATTCATTCCAGGAGTCTGCAATTTCCATGATTGTGGGTGATCACACAGGCAGAGGCTCCCTTTGTGATCAGATCCAGCGAACACTTGGCGTTCTGAGTCCCCAGTGAGCTTCCCTGGGCAGAACCACGTATGCTGTTGCATTTCCTGATGAAGGACAGTGTGCACTCTGTCTGTACGGGCCCCTGGGCAGAGCCGAAGAAGCCAGCGGCTCGATTTCTGCAGACTTTGCCTGTTGTGTCTTTTTCCGTTGTGGGTCCTACCATGTATCCTTCATCCTATAATATATCTTAACTGGAAGCATAACTGCACACAAGTCCTACTGTACATATATATGTGTATATATACATATACACACACACAGGGTCAATCCTGAAGTACAATGCTGTCAGTGACAGGATAATATCCATATGCCTACAAGGAAGAACAGTTAATAAGATAATTGCTCAAATTTACACACCTACCATGAATGCCAAAGATGAAAAATTTGCAGATTTTTACCAACTTCTGCAGTTTGAAATTGATCGAACATGCAACCAAGATGCATTATTAATTATTGATGATTAAAATGCAAAAGTTGGGAACAAAGAAGAATCAGTAGTTGGAAAATATGGCCTTGATGACAGAAACGACAACAGAGATCACATGACAGAATTTTACAAGACCAATAACTTACTCATTGGAAACATCTTTTCTCAACAACATGAACAGTGCCTTATACACATGGACCTTGTTGGATGGAACACATGGGAATAAAATCAACTACATCTGTGGAAAGAACGATAGAGACACTCAACATCATCAATCAGAACAAGGCCAGGGGCCGACTGTGGAACAGACCATCAGTTGCTCATATGCAAGTTCAAGTTCAAGCTGAGGAAAATTAAAACATGTCCATGAGAACCAAAGTACAACCTTCAGGCTATGTCACCTGAATTCAGACCCCGTGAAGACTAGGCTTGACACAGTGAACACCAATGACCAAAGACCAGAAAGTTACAGGATAACAACAATGCCACCACACATGAAGAAAGCAGAAGGTCATTAAAAAAAAAGGAAATAAAGAAAAGACCAAAATGGATGTCACATGAAACTCTGAAACTTGCTCTTGAATGGAGAGTAGCAGAAATGAATGGAAGAAATGATAAAGTAAAAAAAGAGCTAAAGAGAGGATTTCAAAAGGTGGTTCAAAAAGACAAACTAAAGTATTATAATGAAATGTGCAGAGACTTGGAGTTAGGAAGCCAAAAAGCAAGAACAAACTTAGTATATCTCAAGCGGAAATAACTGAAGGAAAAAATTCAAGTTCCAAGTTACAAAATCACAGGATGTTATGTCCAAAATACCGAACAATGCAAGAAGCATCAAAAGACGATGGAAGTCCTTAGAACGATCAATCATGGGAGGACAGAAGGGCAGTTATTTACACAGGGAGATAGCTCAGGGGGCAGGGATGCATAGGAAACAAGGATATAGGGAAGAGGTAACTATGGGGAGGAAGTAGGAAGACAGCTGTTACTTTGTGGGAGAGTGCAGTCAATGTCATGAAAACAAAATGTGTATGAACTGCTGTATGGAAAATGAATTTGCTCTGTAAACTTTCACCCAAATCACAATAAAAATTTATATATATAAAAAAAAAAAGATGGAAGGAATACAGAGTTAATCTACCAAAAAGAATTGGTCCATGTTCAACCATTTCATGAAGCAGCATATGATCAAGAACCAATGGTATCGAAGACAGACATCCAAGTTGCACTGAAGAAACTGGCAAAAAACAAGGCTCCAGTTATTGACAGAACACAAATTGAGATATTTCAACAAACGGATGCAATGTTGGAAGTGCTTGCTCATCTATGCCAAGAAATTTGGAAGATAACAACCTGGAAGAGATCCTTATTTGTGCCCATTTCAAAAAGAGGATCCAACAGATGTGAAAATCATCAAACATCATTAATATCATGTGCAAGTAAAACATGCTGAAAATAATTCAGAAAAAATTGCAGCAGTACATCAACAGGGAACCACCAAAAATTCAAGACAGATTCAGAAGAGGACAGGGAACATGGGATATCACTGCTGATGTCAGATGTATCTTAGCTGAAAGGAGAGAATACCAGAAAGATATTTACCCATGTTTTATACAAAGGCATTTGACTGTTTAGATCATAATAAATTATGGATAACATTGCAAAGGAGGAGAATTCCAAAACATTTAATTGTGCTCATGAGGAGCCTGTACACAGACCAAGAGGCAGTCGTTTGAACAAAGCGAGGGAATGCTGCATGTTTTAAAATCAGAAATTGTGTGTCAGGATTGTACCTTTTCACTCATACTTACTTAATCTGTATGCTGATCAAATAATCTGAGAAGCTGGACTATATTTAGAAGAAGACGACTCATCAACAATGGGCTCTATGCAGATGACACAACCTAGCTTACTGAAAGCAAAGAGGACTTGAAACACTTACTGACGAAGATTAAAGACTACAGTCTTCAGAATGGATTACACCCCAACAAAAAAAAAGCAAAAGTTCTCACAACTGGACCAATAAGCAAAATCATGATAAACGGGGAAAAGACTGAAGTTGTCAAGGATTTCATTTTACTTGGATCCACAATCGATACCCATGAAAGCAGCAGTGAAGAAATCAAATGACATAGTGCATTGGGCAAATCTGCTGCAAAAGACCCCTTTAAAGTGTTAAAAAGCAAGGGTGCTACCTTGATGACTAAGGTGATCCTGACTGAGCCACGGTATTTTCAGTTGCCTCATAGCATGCAAAGCTGGACAATGAACAAGGATGACCAAAGATGAACTGATGCCTTTGAATTATGGTGTTAGCGAAGAATATACCATGGACTGCTAGAAGAATAAACAAATCTGTCTTGGAAGATGTGCATCTAAAATCCTCCTTAAAAACAAGGATGGCTAAATGGTGAGGAAGTTAAGAAAGTTGAAAGATAGAATGGACTGTTCTAAACTTGGGGATAAATTTATAAATCATAGGGTAACC